CCAGAGACTTCAGTGTGGCTCGCGGTTAACTGTGAGGTGAGGGCCAGGCAGCCATTAATACCACATGCGTCTCATGGTCTGTTGTGCCTCCTGCTACCAGCTTCACTCAGTCCCATGATGGAGGGACATTTTTACATGTCCTGCTGGGCCCGATACAGAGGGGAATCCCAAAGCATCCCAATAAGGATAAAGTATGACCTCATTTCATAGAGGGACACAGTGAGAGATGGAGAAAGAGAGGGAGGAAAAAGCACACACCCACCAACAGAACTCAAGATGGCGTCTTCCACGGGAACAGCCCTGAGTCACAGGAGTTCACAAGTCAGCAACATGACTGACAACACCAGCCAAATATTACCATTGGGTTTGTCTTGGTCCTGCCCATCAGTCTGCCTTTCTCTCAGCCTAACGGTGAGGAGCAAACATATTCTTTACACGTTCTGCATACCACAGGTCCTGGGCGGGAAACCCACGCTGTACAAAGGCCTGACTTACTTTTTGGCACAAATCGGAAAAAGACACCAAATGTTGCTTTTAGAAGCCAAAAGCAGTCAGGAGCCCAGAACAGCCTCTACTCCTGCTAGGATGTCAAGCAGCTTACCCTCCACAGTCTCAAGTTCCTTATCTGTTCAGTGTGACAGCTAATTCTATCCAAGTCGCCTGCATTTGGCAATGATAAATTGACTCGGAAGATCTAGGAGGCTGAACACGGGTCCTGGCAGAAAGCCAGTGCTCAAAAGATCCTCGTTATTCTTCGGTCAACCCTCAGGATTGAGGAAGCAACCTGGAAAGGGGGGGAAGGGAAGGGAGGCATCCAAGAGGAAGCAGGATCAGGGCATCACCTCAAAGCGGGCCACGAAGTCCATCAGGTTTGGGAAGGCGTCTAGGCACTTGGGCTCAAACATCTGGTGCTGATCAAGGACATCATAGACAAGGAAATCTGCAAAGGTGACCTGCAGGAAGTGAGGGTCAGTGAGGGTCAGTGAGGGTCAGTGAGGGTCAGTGAGGGTCAGTGAGGTGGGATCCAGGAGCCTGGGAAGGGTGGCAGCTCCTCCTCCTCTCCACCTGTTGCCTTCCTCACCTTGTTCCCTGCAAACCATGGCTGCTTCCCCAGGAACTCGGAGTAGAGCTTCAGCTGGTCTGGGAGGCCCTTCAAGAACTCTGGCTTCCGTTTCTCCTGAAGCAGAAAAACAGCTGTCATAACCCTCATCCAGGCCCCCTGAGAGAGAGTGTGGCTTCACCTGGCTGTGCAAAGGAGCGGGCACCTTCCTAATTTGGGGAATGCACTGTTTATTGCTTCACCATTTTAATAATCAGACTCCTGTTGGGTGGCAGGCTTCATCTCTCAGAATGTTAGATGGGAATGTCACTCTGACCCTGAATCTGTCATGACTGATGTCTAGCTCAGTACTGCCTTCCGGGGTAGCTAGCAGGTTCTGAACAGAGCAGTCCAGCAGAAGAGGGAAAGCCAAGTACTTAACAATCTCAAGAGAAGAAACAAAGGGATTTCAAAGAGCGATTTTAAAGCTCGAGAACAGAATTGGAGTAGGGTGAACACATTTGAGCAGCACAGAGGATGGTGGTTCTCTAGCTGGCCATGAGCTCCAGCAAGAGGCCCTGAGTTTTGCCACTACTATGAACTCAGCTCTGAGAAGTCTGTTGGGTAGATGTCTAAATACCCATGACCTTTTCCCCTCTGACTTTCATCTGTGAACCCCGGGGACAAGGTAATACATGGTAGTGGTCAAGGTCAAAGTTGAAAAGAATTGAATATATGAATTTTCTATGTAGGAAATGAATTTGCAACCATTGGAATTATGACAATACCTCAAAACTTCTTGGAATTGGTATGTTGGACTTGTGAACAAAATGGGGTGGGGGATGCCAGAACTGTTGGCTGGAAAGGAGAGCTTGATAAATCAATATGGGTGGGTTCAAATTCCAATGAGGACAAGTGTGGATATGAACACAGGCCCTTCCTTGACGACTCCTGCAAACCCTGTCTATACCCCACAGTGGGGACTCACGAAATCAGGGCTGTAGCAGAGCGTGCCCATCTGAATGCGGGTATCCATAACCTGTTTCTCCAAAATGTCTACACGAATCCTCTCCTCCTCTGTCTCTCCACCTGCAGCACACACAACACAGACTCACCCTCAGCACCCCACCCCTGCCAAGCCCAGGGCAGGTGGCCACTGTCCCCCACCCTGCAGCCAGCCCCACTCACACAGGTTGTGCTTGCGGCCAAGGTAGCGCAGGATAGCATTGCTCTGGGTGACCTTGTGTGAGCCATCAATTAAGTAGGGCAGCTGGATGGACAAGCAGGGACAGTCAGATGGGTTATGGGGTCTCAGCATCCCTTCCCTTCCCTGGGTGAGGACAGACATGGGGCCTGGCACTCAGTGTGCCTGCCATGGGAATCCCTCCATGAGCACCGTGTGCACTGAATGGGAGAGCTGGGACACAGCCCATCACAGAAACACTGTGCAGCCAGCAGGGGTGGAGCAGGTGAGCAGAAACACTGATCCCAAACCCCTCAGCCAGACAAGGAGATGAGATGAGATCAGCAGGCCTTCCCCAAACCCCACCTTCCCTGAACCTACATTGGGAAAGTCCAGATCCAGCTTGAATTTGTCGTTCAGCCACTGGCTTCTGTCATAGTCAGGAGCTATGGTGGACAAGAGGATGTGAAAAGGAATCACCATGTCTAAGCCTCCTTCCCCAGAACCCTCCCAAGAAGTCAAGGGCAGGACTTCTTGTGCAGGGAAAATGCAGTCTGACCTAGTAAGTCTTTCAAACCAAAGCTGTACACTTGAATAACACAGCTATGTAGCAAGTAAAAAGCCAATCCAAACCCAGGAGCTATTGAATGGCTGTAGGCCTTTCATGACTAAGGCTGACAAAAGCACTAGGCCTGCAGAGCCTGTAGTGGGCAAACCTCACCCAATTACAGTTGGAATAGGGCCAGCATGCCACAACCATGATTCTCTATTGAAAACCAAAGCTGCACCCTCAAGGAAGTTTCTGGAAGGGATAAACTCTGGGTTTATCTGAAGGAGATCCACAGAGCTAAGAAACAGAGAGCCAGGTAGAAGCTGCTGGCACCAGTGGACAGAAGTTAGGGAGGAGTATGACCAGAAGAACGTCATTACCGTCCCCCATGGCGTATCTCTTCTCTTCATAGCTTGTTTCTGTGTATTCCAGGAGCAGGCGGATGGCGTGGCCCAGCTGCGAGAGATAGCGGGTAACAAAAGTCAGTTAGTGAGATCCTTCACCACCTCTAGGGAACCCTTTCCACCTTTTACTAAAAAGGGGGAGGGGGGAGAGAAAGGCAAGGAGAGAGTGTGCACTGAGGAGAGTTGTTCTGACAGAGACAGGTAGGGGGCTCAAGGAAAACCTGATGGGAATCTTCCTCCTGGAACAAAGCCTGCAGTCCCTCTTTGCGTTCTGACCCTGGGCCCTTCCCACGTAGCAGCCCAACCTTTCACTCACTCCACGGATATCCCAGTAACCCAGAGTCACTGGCATGATTTCTATTCCAGCCTCGAAGACTGTGCAGTCAGGCCACTGGCGGAAAAGGCTCTGCTTCCAGATAGCAATGCTCAGCTGATGAGTCTGAGAGCAGTTCCGGAGCTGCCCCGCCCCACCCTAAAGGAACCAACTGTGGAACCCTAAAGCCCAACCCACCGTGACTGTAGCAAGTAAAAGCCAATCTAAACCCAAGAGCTATCATCCGAAGGCGGGTCTGAGCTTTCAGATACCAAAGGCAGTGATTGATTGGCAGGCCTGCTTCCATCTGCCCCCTGCTGGATCCTCAGGAAGTTGGCAGTATCCCTGGAGACAGGCCAGATAGAACCTGTCCTGCCCGTCTTCTTTTCTGGTAGATCATCCGTTTTTCACATAGACTCTGGGAATCTATCATTCAGGGAGGCTCAGATCTCAACATATGGATAAAAAGGCATTGCCTCAACCTGAGAGTCTGTTCTTGTACTCATCCTGGAAGAAAGGACTCTGCCAGTTTGACAAACTCGACTTCACTGTCCATACAACCTGGAGGTACAGGAGCAGTGAAATGGGACCAACCCAGGACAGGGCCAAACAGAAGAGCAAGCAGTCTCTGTGTTTCTCTTGGGGGACCTGGGGCTGTCTCAGTTCCTTTCTTATTGCTGGGACAAACACCATGATCAAGGCAGCTTACAGAAGAGATTGGTTAATGAGGGTTTAAAGTTTCAGAGGGTGACTCCAAGGCCATCATGTTGAGAAGCACAGTAGTAGGGGAGGCATCATGGTGCTGGAGCAACAGCTGTGAGCTCACATCTGATCCACAAGCAGAAGGCAGAGGAGAGAGAGAGAGAGAGAGAGAGAGAGAGAGAGAGAGAGAGAGAGAGAGAGAGAGAGAGAGCGCTAACTAGGAATGGCATATTTTATCAAATCTCAAAGTCTACCCCAGTAACACACCTCCTCCGACAAGACCACACCTCCTAATCCTTCTCAAACAGTTTCACCAACTGAGGGACTAAGCAGTCAATTGTATGTGCCTACAGGAGGCATTCTACAGAGACCCAGACCTTTGGTCATCAAGGTAGTGACTATATAAATTAACCAGCACTTTGGCCATATTTGTGAACTAAAGCCAAGAACCAAACACAGAGGCCTTGTGAAATTGAAAGGGTCCCACCATCATGGACAGAACCCCAAACTCAACAGCACAGTGGCCTGGAGGGACCAGACACCTCTCCTGATTCTAAGGGACAACAGAATGCTGTCCAGAGAGGACCTTGAAGGACTCTGCAGAGGACTAAGTACCTGAGAGTCAAACTCTCAGCTGTCTAGCTCACTGATGTCTGCCCTGGCCCCAGCTCCTGACTTATGTGCATCTGGGTGAGAGGGTGACTCAATGCCCTTCATCATGACACCTGTGTGTAAGAGGAGCTAAGGTGGGAGGAGTAAGGAGAGGAAGAGGAAAAGGAAGAGGAGGAGCAGGAGAGGGGAGACAGAGAGGTAGGAGGATGAAGAGCCACGCAGGTATGGAGAGCAGTCCTGGGTAACAACTTATATTTAGGTTAGCTAATTGGAAAATATCTCTAATTGTATGGGCATATTGTTATTGAGCATTACCAAACATATAAAGCCTTTGATTAATATTTAAGCATTAAAGTCTCATTTCCTACCGGGCCCGAGTGGATGGCCGGATGTTCTGGGCACAGCCCAGACTTGCAGAGACAGCATGGAAGATTGACAGAGCCATCTCCCATGCTGGAGTGTCTCGTGGGTAGCAGGGCCCGTGTCTCTGGCCGCCTGAGCCGGAGGTCTGAGCTGAGAAGCAGAGAAAATTCACCGCAGTCGCTCATGGCCACAGGCCTTGCCTAGTCGGGAACATGGTGGCCCCAATTTGCAAGACAGATCCAGTGGCACCATTTTAAATATTTCCCGCAATACCCATGGTTAAAATTTATAGACACAAGGTTTCTGGCTGCCAGTCCAGCTGACTCAACAGACTCCATGTTCAGTAAGAAAGCAGTCTCAAAAACTACATACAAAGTGATTGATAAAGACACCAAATGTCAACCTCTAACCTCCACACTCATGTGTATACATGTGTGTTCACAGGAACACACACACACACACACACACACACACACACACACACACACACAATAACCCAGGGTTCAGTGACAGGGAGTCAAAATTCAGCTCGGTGAGGAGGCAGAGGAATGAGTAATTCTTGACAATTTCTGTGAAGTTGGGAGTGATTGAGGCTAAGAGGGAGGAGGGAGTGGAGCAGAAATCCTTTGGCTGCCCATGGGCTTTTGTTAGAAACTCGCCGATGGATCTGAACAGGCAGGACCAGGCACAGGTGAGCAGAGGTTACACCAATGGTTCCATGTCCCACTTTCATCCTGAGCTACTCTTCCTCATCAGCTGAGCCTGTTTATTCCAGAGGCACAGAGATGGTCTGAACCAGCTGGGTTGAAGCCCATGGCACAGGTCACAAGCAGTCGAGAGTTCTAGACACAGACTCTACTCTCTGGGAGCTGAAGACCCACTCTGGGGAGAATCCACTCTATCTTGACACTGATGGGTCCTGAATAATAGTGTTCACTCAATGCAGTTGTGTGTTATGAGCAACCATGGTGGCAGCATGCAGAATTAACTAGATTGTAAGTAGCTTCAACAAGTTGGCAGGGGAGACAAAGAACCTGTGTAGACAATCCAAACCCTGCCTGGCCCTGTCCAGCAGGGGGCGTGAGATCATGTAGAAAGTCTGGGCTAAGCAGGTGACTTATGCACCTGACTGGAGAGATTCATAGTGTGGTTCTTCAGAATGTCTTTCTGTCAACACAATGACTGATACTCAGTATTTTCTCTCTGATAAGTTCAAGCGGTGACCTCTGACCAGTCCCTGCCCCATGCCCAACTTGCAGCCTACCCCTCTCACACAGGCTGGGCTAAGGGGCAATGTTGCACAGGATGACACTATTCTAGATGATCTTGTGCCTGATTATGTCACCCAATGTACCTCACCTATAAGATGTGATTGACCTTGACAGATGCCACTCTGCCCCAAGTGCATGGTGGGGACTTCCTGCCTTGGCCTACTCTCTCTTTCTCTTCCCCCACCCTCACCTCCCTCTCCTTCCCATAATTGAGACACAGTTTCTTCTAAGGACAGGAGAGTAGGCAGGGAACTTGTCTTCCCCTCCCTGACAAAGAGCCGCTCTGGGTAGCAAAGTCCTAAATGGACGCCTGCATCTAAGACAAGTGACCACTGTCCTATCATGTACTAAGAGGCCCTTTGTTCTTTCAGAAGCTTATCCACAAATGGCCTCAGGCCTTCCCAAACACTTGTTTAAACCAGAAATTCAAGAAAACATAGTACCTTTTAGTCTAGTTATCTTAGCCTGGGTGATATCAGCCGGCCTTGGACCTGGTCCCTTGAGATACAGCCCTTCCCCTTTACTCCCCTCACAAGGGATCTTAAAGAAACAGGCTCTGCTCTCCCTAGAGGAACCTGAAGCACCCTCCTTCAGACCCTGCTATGTTGTGCTGCCTGCCTGCCAATGGTTAACAAAGCTCTTGCCTATGGGTCAGAACCCCACTTCCCTTGTACCTAAAAAGCTAACAAGGAGGGAGGACCCCGAGAGACTCCATGGACCAGAGATGTTCAACCTCCTGCACTCTCCCCATGAGATGGACTGTTTTCTAGATCAATGCCTCTCAGTTGAATCCTAGTCCACTAACCCAAGAAATAGGGGGAAACTAGGCAAGGAAGTGTAATAAACAGTAAGTAATGGCAGACTGACAGACTGTCCCTTCCTCCATTCTAAAGGCAAGAAGCACAGTGAATGAAGGGTGCCCACTGGAGTCTTGCTACAGCAAATCACGGTTTGTTGCCTATGTCTGCAGTACGCATCTCATGCTGCCTCCGGCCGAGGCCCTCAGGTGGATGTTTTCATCTCTTCTAAGCACATTGTTCAGGGATCTTCTTCATCTGCAGTCACATCCTTTATTTTATCCTCTCCAGGACAGAACGATGAAGTTGCTCTCAAGTCCCTTCTTTTATAATCACACTTAAAATTTCAAATCTAACGTCGCTTTATGGTAGTTTTCCCTTTTAATGGGAGCATCTGAATTGGGAGTGAGGATAGTATAACCACCTATTGTACTTTGTTTCCTTTGCTTATTTGCTATATTTACTGTGGTAAATTCTGTGGCATCACATTTGACCTTGTATCAGTTTGGTACTGCCTCGTACATTAATGATGGCAGCTGTCTCCACTCATCTTTCCCTTTTGTGACACTGGAGGCTGTGTCAGTTCGCCTTTCCCTCCAGTCTCCAGAAACTACTGCTTCTGTGATATCTGCCATCCTCATGTGTTACAGCTTGAATATGGAATGTCTCCCATAGGACCATACCCTGAACACTTGAGTAGAGGTGGTGGTTCCATCGAGGGGTGGGAGATCATATGGAGAATGAGACAAAGCTCCAAGAGGGAGATGCCAGGGGACAGCTCCTTGCAGAGGTATGGTCTATGGTTCCTGTGTGTCACATTCTCTGCCTCTTCTCCACCAAAAAGTGAAAAACAGCCTCTAGCATATGTTTTGGCCACCATGATAGTCTGCCTAACCACATGGGGCCAAAGGACTGTGAGCTAAACTTCATGAAATGTCAGTTGAAATAAATCTTTTCACCCTTAAGTTGTGTCCTGTCTGGTATTTTATCAGAACGATGGGGTAAGTAGTATATATATATAAAACTGTAAAGTGTTTTGTGGGTTGTTTTTGCTTGCTTGTTTGTTGTTTTTGACGAGTTTTAATGGCTCAAGTTTCATCTAAGTTTTATCATGGGTTAAAATACTCTCCTCTCTAACACTACAAAATATTCTTCTGTTTCTACACATTTTCTTTGTAAATGGGTTCATAGATTACATCCATATATTATTCATCTGAATAATGCTTCTTTGAACATGACACACAAATACATACTGAGGAGCTGGGGAGATGTCTCAGTGGTTCAGAGACCTTGCTGCTACCAGAGGACCTGAGTTTAGTTCCCAGAATCCACATCCGGTGGCTCATAGCCACCTGTAACTCTCACTC